ATGCTTGGACTTTCAGAGAATGCGTATCCTTGAATACTAGACGCTAATATCCGTTCGTTGCTAGAGCCAATCTAGCATCCTGTGAATGAGGCGGAATGGCTTAGCCCCAATCTTCTCTGCGTCAAACAGGACCGAACTGATACTCGCTACATCCTGAAAGTCACCAACGACAAAGCGATCTTACACCGAGGATACTCACGATTGCGATGACATCAACCTTTAATACTTTTCTCACTTTAGTGCAATTTTATTCTGAGACCTTGCGAAGTTAACATATTTAACAAAGTTATACATAGTGAAAGTCCCTAGATCTCATACATTTTGAGAAAGAGAGCGTTCTGGTACCCAAAATAGTTAAAAAAAAGATTTCAACTTTGTGACAAGAAAAGTGGGAAGGATTTATGTTTCCATACTCTTTCGTTCGTTGAAATTGCTGTGTACATACTTTGTATATTACTTGTTTTTTCATGTAATTCCCTTTTGAAAAAGTGAAAAAAGCAGATTTTGCAGAAACTGCAAAAAATTCGAGTATAAAAATAGTCCGCACACTTTGTTAAGAAAATACAAAGTGTCTTGTGTATAATACGGGCACTGATCTTTTTTGTATATCTCATTTAAAATGAGAATACCAAAAACACATATCTTCGATCACACACGTGCCTATGTGTCTAGACACATAGTATACTATTTATATTATAGACAGAATGTGGACTATCTATTCGTATATACGAAACATAAATTTTCACTTTGAAATAAGAGAAAAAGAATTCTTTTGCGTTCTTGTAATTCAAGAAAATGACTAACTATATCCATCAATAAAATCCCTTGACGTGAGTCGCGTCGCGAAATAGCGATATGGTAGTGATCGCGCTAAATAAAAACCCATATGAATTCGAAATCTATTTGAATCGAATTGATGCAGAATTCAGAGTCCCGTCGTGACTTCGCGACATTGTAGCGATCGCGACGCGATTATATATCGCGCAGCGACTCTTAAAAAAAAATTCTTTTTAAAATAAGAATTGATAAGATCACGCCGCGACTTCGCGATATTATAGCGATCGCGACGCGAATATAAGATTTCATCGCGATCGCGCCGCGACATGCAGGATATCATAGGGATCGCGGTAGCGACAGCGCGATCGCGCCGCGGATGACGCGTGACACTGGATCTGGGATGGCCTACCCCTTAGAAATTTCATTTTCTTCATTTGGCGGTAGAAAAAAATATTTTGATTGAAATCGAACATAAAAATACTACACACGAATATTTTTTACTGTTTTCTTTGGCCAAAAAAAGGTTTGGCCCACCCCTTACTGGAATCCCGCTACGTCGCTGCCACCAACAGAAAAGAATTAATCCAGAAAATTGTTTAAAACAGAAAAATGCACAAACGGCTTTCCCAGTCGTATAACTACTGTTCTGACTAATGAAAGAGTGGAAATAAAAAAGTTAAAAAAACGGTATGAGACACATCAACCTTCTTTCTTCTTTTCGATCGACCATCTTTAACTAACTGATAAGATCGCGCGTTTCATGCAAGTAAGGAGTTATAGGATGACTTTGCCAATCAAAAACTGTCAATGAGCCTCTAAACACTGCTTTTTATGCGCTAAAACTAGTTTTTGGAGCCTTAAAACCCCTTTTAACTTGAGATCCAACTTAAAATTCTATAAAACTGTTCAAATCTCACTTTTTAAAATTTGAATAACGTTCGGTAACTATCGACTAAAATTTAAATGAGCAACAAAATAATACGAATGAGCAATAAAATGATATAGATGAGTAATAGTCAAGTTTAGCGGTAAAGAAATTCAATGAGCAATAATTCTACTGACTGAGCAGTAATTATACTAATTGAGCAATAATTAAACTAACTAAACAATAATTTGTTCAGACCAAAAGTACAAGGGCAAAGGCATTTTTGGTGTTACCTCGAACAATAAGCTATCACCAAAATGTGGTAATAGGATTTGGTGATGACTTATCTTCACCAATAAATGGGTGACACCTTCACCCACTTATGTGTGTCATCATCCATCAAAGTGGGTGATTTTCCTTTGTTTATCACTCATCACCACTTTAGCAGTTCAAAAGTGTTATCCTACTGGGTGACCGGTAATGGTTTTTTGTAGAGAATGTCACCTATAAAAGTGGATTACCAGTCACTCAGTAGGATAACACTTTTGAACTGCTAAAGTGGGTGATAAGTGATAAACAAAGGAAAATCACCCACTTTGATGGATGATGACACACATAAGTGGGTGAAAGTGTCACCCGTTTATATGGAACACGATTTACAGTGTAAGATTTTTTCTCTCCTTTCTCACTGTTCGTTGCATAAGATTTTATGTAATGTCTTTACCGGTCAACAGATGTAGTGTGATGCTGAACACGGTCTACGAGCGCAGATATTATATATATAGTAAAAAGCATTTTCTAGTTTATATTTAATGTAATATCTTCGTGTGAGGGAAGACTTAAGATTAGATCCTAGATGATTCATTGTATCTTAATATTTTTTCTTTAACAACTCTGAAATATCAAACAATCATCCCTCTCAGAAAATTCATTCATTGCTTAACTGAGAGAAAAGTTTTGCTTTAAGACTCTACAGCGACGTTTTACTTCGAGTCATAATCCACCACATTAAACAGTCGTTTTGGTGGAAAACGAGTGGATCACGAGTGATAGATTGACCTAAAGCTTTTCTAAGTAGATCTTAATATTTTAGAAATTTGTTTTTTACTGTTCAGAAAATGCGCAAAAAGTTAATTTACATTAACTTTTTGCGTTAATGTCAGAGACGTCCATGGCGGTGCTGCCGCTACGGCGGAGGCAGCGCGGCAGCGGCAACTTATTCATTTTTGCCATCGCGGCGCGGCGCGGTAGCGGTTGAATTTTTGAAAAGATTTATTTAATTTTTGTCAAAAAACTCTGTGATAAAGCTATTCGAATCCTAGAATCATGATGAACGCTGGAGTTATAGTACTATTCATAAACTAGTTTTTTCGTGGCTGTTGATATTTCTTTTCCCGACGTTATATAGCATTCTAACAACAGTTTCGTTTGTATCTTTTCTTTGATTTTCTCGCTGAGTCATCTGTATTCGTCTTATATATGTGCCGGGGTCATTCTTTCTTTCTTTCTCTCTCTTCTCGTCCATGAGGATCATTGAGATTCTCACATTCGTCCTTACTTATATATTACGCAGTCGAACACATAGATTACATAATCTTCTTATTAATCAAAATGCGCTTGAATCATACGTCTATCTCTTACTTTTCTCCTTGTGTCCTCTATCTTCAGTTGCTTTGTATGAGCGTCGGTGTGTGTAAAAGATGATGTTTTTTTCTATAAGTAAAAGGAGTTAGCCAGTTAGTTCCATCAACACAAAGTTCATACTCATTTGCTGATTCTATAATTACAGTAAGGAACCTCTAACGCTAGATATAAAAGATTTTGTTTTATTCTTTTTTTAATTTAACAATGAAGATATTTGTTATTAAATTATTTTCTAGGATATTGATAACTTGTGTTGAATGGCACGTGCCAATCTCTCGTCATCTTCAATCGATGATGATCTTGTTATTGATTCACCTCCACCAGCAACACAACCAATCAACAAGGAACAATTGAAATTAAAGTTTAAATTGGCGGTTATTGATGACATTGAAGATCAGAAAGGACGTGAAGTTAAAGAAAAGACAAATGAAATAAAAAGTCTATTGAGTAAAAGAACTGATAGATTTACAGTTGTTGCACATGGTGTAACTAAACCACATGTGGCTAAGTGCCTATTTAGGTATTATATCATCAATTTTCTGATCATTTTGATTCGTATTCTTCAGTGGATAATCAGATGTTATAACTAACAAGTCCACCTTCTCTTGCTTATGTTTAAGTAACGTATTCGATATTTTTTTCTTCATATAGGGAAAAAACAAGAAAGGACCCTGTCGAGTAAGATGATCTATCGAGAACTGAGAAACCAAATATACCATGTTGTAGTGCAAACGTTTCGCTATACTGAAACGTACGATAACCAACTATTGATAAAAGTAATGATTAGGCAGAGAGAAAACCACTTTTTTTTTCTTCATAACATCATATATTGAAGATGTTAAATATATGAAATTGTAGCTCTTGAAACGCTGTATCAAACTGTATACAAAAGATATTTTTTACAGATTCCTTCAATTAGCAGTATGGATCAACATTAATTAGCTATATGTCATCATTTGGGGTCCTACCCTCCAACAGTAAATGGACTCTCGTTCCTTCAAAGTCTTATGAAAGTAAGATTTACTATATACCATTCGACGTGCCCCACTTTGCACTACAACATGGTATATTTGGTTTCTCAATTCTCGATAGATCATCTTATTCGACAGGGTCCTTTTCTAAAGTTCCACTATTGTCGAACGATCTCTACTTGTCACTAAACAATCAATTCAACAGTTTACGTCCTGTATCTATAGTTGAAGATTCAGGACTTCGACAAATTTGTTCGTATTTCTATAATTTAGGTAAGTTTTGTCATTTCTAATTTGATTCAAAGTGAAGCATGTTTAATACCCCTCTGTTTCTTTTATTTTCCCAGGTGAAAAAAATTTTGGTCGTTCAATGGATTTGGAAAGTTTATTTAAACTCGACAAACAATTTCACGCTGTATAGCAAATGCAGCACAACAATCTCGAGAACAAATAACTGAACTTATCAAAGAACCAGTCAAAAGTCAATCATTAACTGTTTCATCTGATATGTGGAGTGATCGATATCGACAATTATCATATCTAGGACTAACAGTAACATTTGTTGATTTACATCTGCATTTTCGAAAATTTACTTTATGCTGTCGAAGCTTTCCTGTTAAATTAACTAAAACAGGTGAAAATATATCAGGAGTGAGAATATTTAACTCAGTGAGAAACTAAATATTAAATTCTCTAATATTGTAGGTTTTGAAGGAAGAATTAAGTCGGTATGGCATTGAACGTTTTGATTCTGTCTACTGGGTCAGTGATCGTGGATCGAACTTCGTTCGTTGTTTTAATTTGAACATGGTTGAACCGATCTTTTGTTTCGCCCACAGAATCCATAATGTCTTAACCATCACATTTATTAAAAGATTGATGGATATTTTAATGATGTACTATTGATCTTTTACTTGTTTTGTCTTTCCGTACTATTGTTTATTGTTGGCAAAATTGCTCGTTTATAGTGCTACAGTGAGCATCTTTTTAATGCAGACGTAAAATTGACTTCAGAACAGGATTGATCTCTTCATCGCTTGCGTCATCTAATTGTTCTCGTAAAAGTTGTTGATATGTCCGTAGTAACACTGGCATTTGAATTGTTTTTTGTATCAATCGTGAATATTGACGTGCTGCTTGATAATAGGTAGCATATTTTTCGATCATATAGCGAAATAGTAGACTCAGATAGATTGATTGCGCTTCATAGACTTGTTTACTATTCATAAGGACCGGCTGTTCGTTCACTACAATATCTTCAACCAACATACTTTCGGTAAATGTCAATATAACCATCATTAACTGTAAAATAATTGGATCATCGTCAGAAATCTTCTTGATCGAACGACACAGTTGATTGAATTGTAAATCAAATTGTTTTCCATAACAGTAGCACGACATTTGTCTGCGAGCGATAGCATACTCTTCGCTTTCAGCTTCTGAATTAATTATGATATCTCTATTTGTATCGTAATTCAGACATACACACATGAAAAATGTCAAAGGAAAATTGTATTTAACTAACACGAAACGATCGTGTTCATTAAGTAATTCGAACTCAGGAATATTTTGAATGAATGTAATGAGCTGCATGCTGGTATCATAAACGACTGAAGTTAAATAGAGTAAAGTCGAACGTCGATCATTTATATGACCCAATGCAGATATATCACGTTTGGCTGCTGTGAGTCGGAAAGCTGTCTCATAGGAAAGCTTAACTGAGTTGAGACGATTGTAGTCGTTAAGAGTGCAAAAAAGGGTTTGAGGGGATAGTATAGTTAGTTGAACAGAAGGTAATTGAGTAGGTTGAAGTTGTTCTATAGTAGACTCCTTAAATGACAAATATATACGCCGTAAAGAAAAGTAGAATCTTCTTGTTTCAACCTGATGCATCTCGTGTCATAACTTCCTCTCATCCCTTTTGACATAGATAGGCTATCATTAAACTCTAAGACTGAAAAAATATACGCTGTCGATTGCAGTCTAGGATGATTACGAGAGAACATAGTCTCGTATTTACTCATGCTTTAAATACTTTGTATGGTGTAAACCGAGAAAAACTTGTCCAGCAGAGCAGAAAAGGTCGGTAAATTTTTTAAATCCAATTTGGTTGGGCGATACATCTCCTGTACAGTTTTTAACGGTAATCACGACTATAACAATGGTGTTTCTACTGAAATGCTCTTGAACGCGGAAAAAACGCATTTTTCATGCCATTTTTGAAAGGGGGGGGGGGGGGGGGGAAATTTTTTGGGTTCGCGGGGCCCCCCCCAAAAAACGGGGTTATTTTTGGCGGGCCAACCAGGTATTTTGGTGGGTGA